CAGACGTGTGCTCTTCCGATCTCCCCAAAACCCCAAAACCCCAAAACCCCTTGGAACCAGTTATGAGTGTTCTTGAAGGAAGTATAAATTTAATGCTATTAAAAATTAAGAATATTTCATTGAGTATTGTTTGCAAGAGAATATACTATTGCTTCCAAAATATTCCCGTTGCTATCCATCTGCTTTCCTCATTTTCTTGTAATAATATCATTCTTTTGAATGGTAACATCAGTTCTTCTTTTTCTATAGAAACCAACCTCATCAGATTTAGGTTAAATAGACCAAACTCCTTCACCAATAGGAAGACTCAATGCATTATCATATGGCTGAATCTGAGTTTTGCCAGCTTAACCCACATTGACTGCATTGACACCTGGATCTACAGAGTAAAGCCAAGCTCTTTGCACATCAGTTTACTCCTAAGGATCGAAGGATTTTGAGTAGACCTCACCAACCAAGTTTGATATCAGCTTGACTTATTGCTAGTCAAATGGTCTATGTTAACCTCCAGCTTATCCTTGCTTTGATGGATCGATCTGCTCATCTTTGCTCTTTGGGGGTGGTCTTCCCATAAAGTCTTCCATTGTTGTGTTGAAGTGTCTCTAATCGTGATTCTCTGGGTATCTATTAATCACAGCTCCAAATCCTGATTGAGTTCCTCCTATTGGTCGACTATAAAAAGGATTAATACAAATAATTAACTTACTCTACAAGTGATAGCTCTGCAATATTATATTTGTTGATCATTCTCATAACTGGTCTCTCTTGAACTCTGTGGACGACAGGATTCTTCAAATCATTTTGTTTAGTTGTCAATAATTCTCTCTGTAAAATGCTTATAATTATAATGCTACTTACGAATCCATCATCAGGAATTATTCCAGCGGTATTGTGCTTGGGTAATCTCTAGATGCAGCCAAGTGGTCTTGGAAGACCAGATGATGTTAAGCAATTGATATCAGTCTCCTTCTCTCTCATCTGAAAATAAAATAAGAATTTGAACAATGTATTTGAATAGAAAGATTATTCTAGGATAGTACTATGAACATACCATTCTTAGATCTGGCTTTGCTCTATAGAGTTGCTCCTTTGCCAATCTCTCTTCATACCAATTAGCTATTTTAAATTTAACAATTGAAAGGAGTTACCATTTAAGGTCTTATTTGAAAACTACTGCATTTTTTCTTATTTATTTTATTTATATAACTTATATCAATTAATATTATAAAGTGAAGTGGGGTTTTGGGGT